CTCAGTCTGCAGACCGACACTCTACTACTGAGCCAAACCGGTTTCGGCTGATGTTTCTAACTCTTTATCCCTTTCCCTTCCTCTCTGTAAAAAATCAATAAAATATATATTTTTAAAAGACAGTATATGTATTTATATGTATAATGGTTACTGCTTCCTGTATCACACTGTTGAAACTTTATTAGTTATATTTAATGTCATTCCTTAGGCTGCCATGCAACTTACTTGCTCCAATACCTTCCATGGTTTCCCAACATCTGCTGAAAAAATTTGCAGCTCATCAGCTACCTTCCCTACTTCACCTCACACCACTCCTGCCAGGCTCATGCTCCAGGCCCTTCCCAGCCCCCAAGATGTGCGTAGAGCCCCCTCTCCCTCTAACAGTGCAGTTCTAGCACTGATTTGACCTCCTCTTTTAAGATTTTAGGGTATTTCCTGACCTAGTGTGATTTCTTTTGCAGGACAGTAGCTCCTTAAAGATAAGGACCAAACTGCACAGGAATACCCATAGTTTTCAAATTAACCAATTTACCTTTTTAATGCCTTTGAGTCCCAATTTTCTAAATTTTACTCATTATATTCTACATTGTGTAATAATTAATGAAGCAATTATAATATAATACATTATCTTAAATTATTTTAATGCAGGAGTCCTATAAGACATTTTCCTTGCACTCCTACATGTTTCATCAAGACCTACGGAACTAAGTTAAATCTAGGATTTAAGTGCCAACAATTTTTCTGTATCAGAAAGGAGCAGTTGGAAACATGAAGACTCAGCCTCATTCCAAAACAAACCGAAAAATGGGAAGTAGTTTATCTTATTTTGTGGGTATCCCATTCTCTACTCTGCCTCCCAGCACAGGAGAAATCTAGGTAGGCCTCAACTTAGAAATGAATTGCATTCTACATCTTTATAAGTATAGGTCAGTAATTTAAAAATTATAATTCATTTCCCTTTGAGATAATATTATAAATAATGTTTAAGATTCCTGACAAAATTCCTCAAAAGCTAATTTAAACTCTCAATGAAGCAGAAATAGTATATTTGCAATAAAAAGTAGAAAATAATATTACAACGTAATAAAATTACATTGATGTTTCTGTCTCTCTCTCCCTCTCCTTTCCTCTCTGAAATCAATAGTAAAATAACCAATAAACAACTGAATATGAATGATTATTTTTAACTTGAATAATCATGATTCAAGGAAAGCAGATTTAACTACAGAAAAAAAAAAAAGGAGGATATATCTCACCATTTTCTCCTGCTTGGTCTCATTCACCAGTTTCTTGGAGACTTTCTCTCATGAAATGAAGATGTGGCCTGAGGACCTAATCTTGAACTCAAGTCTGCCCACAGTTCTGCGTAATTTCAGGACCCATGTGGAACCATGTTGAATACTCCAGTCATTATTTTCCTTCATCTCCTCATCTTCGAGGATCTTCTCCACTCCCCTCCTGTCTCCCACTCCCACTGGCACACCCTGAGCCATGCTATCCCCAGGACCACATCACCTTTAAATGTTAAACTCTGACTATTTACCCAATAACCTTCAAGGTAATTTATGACATTATTCCCAGCATGCAGCTCTTCAACCTATCTGAAATGTCTAGTTTACAGTTCCTGGCTAGATCTCTCGAGTCTCCTATTTCAGCTCCCAACTTAAGTTCCAAGATGCAACATTTCAGCTATTTTTTGTGCCCCTGTCTTTCCACTGCATTGTTCTTTCAGACATAATCCAGGACAATTGTAATTGCTCATCTGCAAGAGAAATGCTAAGAGCTCTTCCAGGCAAGGAGATCATGCATCCAGTTTGACCTTTATTACAACTCTTGGTCACCTAACTCAACCTTAATGTTACCTGGCAATCCTAAATTGTATGTATGTTTGTACGTATGTATGTATGGATGGATGATGGATGATGGATGATTTGTGGAAACATGTAGAAATGTTAAGGAGAATCTCTGAACCCTTTGTAATATTTTCAAGCTGGATGGCAGTCTAGCACTGTAGTCAGCAAACCACAGCTCATGAGCCACATGTGGCTCTTTGGCCCCTTGAATGTGGCTCTTCCACAAAATACCATGTGCGGGTGCGCACATACATTGCGATTGAAACTTCGCAGAAGTCGGTTTTCGGCCTGGGTGAGTCTATTTTGAAGAAGTGGCGTTAGAACACTCAAGGAGCCAAAGAGCCACATATGGCTCGCTGGCCGCGGTTTGCCGACCACTGGCCTAGCATTTCTAATTTTATTACAAAACATATGGCTTTGCAACTCTGGAAAAGAACTCAGTTGGAGGCATCACAGTTCCTGATTTGAAACTACATTACAAAGCTGTAGCAAAACAGTATGGTATTGTTGTAAATCAGACACATAAGACAATGGAACAGAATTGAAAGCCCATAAATAAATCCACACATACATGGTCAACTAATATTTGATAAAATAGCCAAGAATACCTGGTACGGAAAGGATAGTTTCTTTAATAAAAATAGTGTTAGAGTCCATCCAGTGGCTCAGTGGTTGAGCATCAACCTATGAATCAGGAGTTCATGGCTTGATTCCAGGTCAGGGCATATGCCCAAGTTGCAGGCTTGATCCCCAGTGTGGAGTGTGCATGAGGCAGCTGATCTGATCAATGATTCTCTCTCATCATTGATGTTTCTTTCTCTCTCTCCCTCTCTCTTCCTCTCTGAAATTAATATATATTTTAAAATATATTTTTATATATACATTTTTTAATAGTGTTAGGAAAACTGGTTACTCAAAATAATGAAATTGGACCCCTATCTTACAACACACAAAAATTAACTTGAAATGGATTAAAGACTCAAATGTAAGACCACCTATAAAACTACTAGAAGAAAACATAGTGGAAAAGCTCCTTGACAGTGGTCTTGGCAACAATTTTTTGGATATGACACCAAAAGCACAAGCAACAAAAATAAAAATCAACAAGTGGGACTACATCAAATTAAAAAGCTTCTGAGCAGGAAAGTAAACAATCATCAAAATGAAAGGGCAACCTACGGAATGGGAGAAAATATTTGCAAACCATCATCCTGAGTTTTATTCACCCCACTCATCTTGGGAAGGCTTTTCTGCATGTCCTGGAAGAGGGTTGGTTTTGCTTCTTTAAGAGAGGCTTGCCCTAGCCAGGGTGACTCAGTTGATTGGAGCATGGTCTACACCAGTGATCGGCAAATTCATTAGTCAGCAGAGCCAAATATCAACAGTACAACGATTGAAATTTTTTTTGAGAGCCAAATTTTTTAAACTTAAACTTCTTCTGACTCCACTTCTTCAAAATAAGACTTGCCCAGGCTGTGGTATTTTGTGGAAGGGCCACACTTAAGGTGCCAAAAAGCTGCGTGTGGCTCGCGAGCTGCGGTTTGCCGACCACTGGTCTACACCAAAGGGTTTTAGGTACAATTCCAGGTCGGGTGCATATGGGAGGCGATCAAGCCGATCAGGGCCATCTCACCCAGGCCGATTTGGGCTGGTGGCCAGTGGCCAGGTAGGGGCCTTGGGAGGGACTGCCGAGGGCTCCATGGCATGTCCACCCCTATCTCAACCAGTCTCCCCTAATAGGCCAGACCCCAGCAGCAAGCTAACCTACTGGTTGAAGCATCTGCCCCCTGCTGGTCAGTACACATCATAGCAACCGGTTGACTGACACTTACCATGTTAGGCTTTTATACATAGCTAAGTCCCAGCACACTTCCCTTCATAGCTCACTGGCCAGAAGTAGGTCATCACATATCTACCCTCCAACTAGTCAGGGTAAAGACACTGGATTGCAAAGATTGGTTGGAAACAATGATGCTGGTGCCAGAGAGGGGTCTTCCCAAATATAAACCAGACTGGCCTCCAGTCCTCAAAGAACAGGAGTAAAACAGTTACAAGGATCAAGCTTGAGATATTTAATCTTCCAGAACTTACTGAACACCTTCGCAAGTGCCAGGTACCAAGCTAGTGACAGGGATAGGAAGTAGACGTAGGGACCACTTTCACCAAAGCATTCTACTGCTGGAAACATTCACCATGCTTCCCTCTTCCCTCCTCTTCGCCATTTAAAGGTACAGTGCACGGCCACTTGCAACTCTGAAGCCGTCTCCTCTTTTGAGCCGTGAATGACGTCTTCTCGATTCACAGCTCACATTTACTTATGTTACAACTATTCACTGACCACCTGGGCCATGGGAATACGATTTTGCTAGAAAGACAAGGTCCCTGTCCTCACAGAGTTTCTATTCCAGTGCCATAGAGAGTTACAGCCAATTACAAAAAAAACAAAAAACAAAAAACACAACACACTGCAAGTGTTGAGTCATGGGAGTTGTCAGGGTACCAAGGAGAGCCTCTACTCTTCCAAAAGGTGGGGCGAGGGATGGTAGTGGCAGAAGATATATTTTGTTGAAAATGTCATTGAAGATAATATTGAAGGTGAATATTTAAAGGGAAATGAGAGTAGAGGTCAGGAGTTGGGGGAGAAGGAGAGGAGGCTAGCCCACCTAGAAGGAGGAGCATGTGCAAAGGGGGAAGGCACTGGTAAAAGAAAGGATCGCTCAGTGTTGCTGGAAAAGAATGGGAGGGGAGAACAGGGAGTGGAGAAGCTATAATGACAGGTGGAAGCCAGGCCTACACCGGGGTGAACTCCTGGATTTTATCTGGGGGAGAGGGGGGCAGTCATTGAAGGGATTGACATGTTTAGGTTGCATTTTAGAAAAGGCATTCTTATTCCTTTGTTCCCTTTCTCACCGTTCAGCCATGCTACCAACAGAATGACCTGCACTACACTAGGGCAATAGGCTGGCCCAGGATGGTAGCCAAGGCGTGGGTAGTGATTGAGGAGACCCAGGATTCAGCTAATAACCGGGCTGTGACTGGCTAGGGAGGGGAGGAGTCAGGGAGGACTTCAGGCAGTTCTGGTTTGGGCACCTGGGGGATGGGAGGATGGTAGTGTCCTACCCTGGATGCAGTCTTTTTTTTTTTCTTCACAAGATGCGCTTGAGCTGCCTCCCACAGGGCACTGAACACCACGTGTTCGCTAATTAACCCTTTGGATGACTCTTCTCTGCCCTCCCCCACCCTTCATGTCAAGGCCAGTCCCACTTTGTTCAGATGGACCTATTTCGAGCTTCTACTTTGGGTCCACACCCACATGAACAACGTACAAAACATGGTTTTTGTGCTTTAGGCTTTCAACACTCTGTCCCTTGAGTGAAGCCTCTATTTTTTGAGCCCCTACCATGAGCCCAGAAATGCAAAAACAATCCCATCAGTCATCCCTAATAAAAGCTTTTCAGCTAATACAAATCTCAGGCATCCAATCAGACATTTAATGATGTCAGTGATCAGTAAACTGCAATTAATAATTGACACAAGTTTGACTTTTCTTTTCTTGCCTTTGTCTTTTATTCATTTCTTTAAAAAGCTCTCAGCTCTTTACATTTTAAAGATTCATCTTGTGAGGCAGCACGATGGCACATGAGTCAGTGTCAGTTCTGGGTGTTCTCCGTGTGGGCTTTTACGTGCATTTTTTTTTTTTTAACAATTTGTAATTTTACTACTTGGGGTTGCTGGTACTAACTTTATATTACTGTATAGCTCGATGATGATGAGGCTCCGAATATCTCTATCTCCGCGTTTTAAGTAGTACCATGCCTGGATGAAGCATCAAAGTGAGCCGGGTGAACTTAAAGGGCCTTTCAAACATCTTGAAGCAATAACAAGTCATAGACTGAAGCAGGGCGTTTTTTTTTGTTTTTTTTTTAAACATTACACAGGACTAAAACAATTGAACCAATTTGTCCTTTGTTCTTTTTTTATTTAATTCTTTATTACATTAATACTGTTAACACACACACACACACAAATCTCCAAAAGCACTGAACTAGTACCATGCTATCCAAAGTCCTCCCAATGGCCTGGCTTGGCCTGAACGCGCGTTTCCGCCGACCCGGTACAGGGAAGGCCACGGGGTACACTTGGGCTGGGTCCCAGGGAGGCGACGTGAAATGACGGGGGGGGGAGGTGCAGAGTCCTCTGCTGCCCCGAGTTCTCCCGCGGGAGCGGGAGGGAGGACCTGGCCCCAAGTTTGCCAAGTTTCCTGGCAGGCCCGGCTGAGCAAACGCCGCTGCTATCGGTCTCCTTTGCGCTCCAGGGCCAGGCCTGGCCCGTGGGAAGTTTGCTTCGGGGTCACCGGGCCTTCAAAGCAAAGCCCTGGGAGGCGGGGTGCGCCACCGGGGCCGTCTATCTGTGGGGTGGGCGACGAGGGGGACCCCGCGCCCCGGCCACAAAGAAAGGGGGCGCGCTAAGAGCGTGGGGAATGACCTTGGACACTCGGGGCCACTTTAGGGCTGCAGGCACCCCCACCCCCACCCCCAATGCCCTCCCTTTCCCCGCAACTCCTCTCCGCTCCGGCCCCGGTCCCCCGCACCGTCCCCACGGATGGTGTCCTTTCTGCTTCTCCTTTAAGAGACTTGGATGCGCTCGGCCCAGGAGGGGCCGCTTGGCCGCGGGGGCCCAGCCCTTCCCGCCGCGCCCGCCCGCCCGGGGCCGCCCTGCCCGCCGGGGCCGGGAGATGGATGGCCTCCGCCGGCCCGGGCCCCCGCCTCCGCTCGCCCGCGAGCCCGGCTGTGTGTTTTGGAAGCGGCGCAGCGGGTGGAAGCCCGGAGCCGCCCGGAGCGCGCAGCGCCCGCCCTTCCTTCCCCCCGGGCTCGGGCGCGGCGGTCCCGGCGGGCGGGGCGCGGGCGCCGGGGCGGGCGGAGGGCGCGGGGCCGGGCGCGCCGGGCGGAGGGCGCGGGGCGGGGGCCGGAGGGCGGGGGCTCCGGGGCGGGGGCCGCGCCGCGCCTCGCGGGACAGGTCGGGCCGGCGGGGCGGCGCCCGGCCCCGGGGAAGAATGAGTGTCTGTGAGGCCGGCCCCGGGTGGCGGGGCGGGGCGGGGCGGGGGCGGCGCGGGAGGCGGGCGGGCGGGGGTGGCGGGGGAAGGGCGCAGGGCGGGGTGCGTGTTTGCGCGAGTGACTCGGCCGACCCCTCCGGCGGCTGCCTCCACCCAGTGGGTGGGGACCCGCCCAGCCCAGCCCGGGCGGCCGCGGGCGGCTCCCCTCCCCTCCCTGACCCTCCCACCCCGGGTCCCAGCCTCTACTTACCCCGCCAGCCCCGGGAGGCTCGCAGAGCGAGCGGCGCCGGCGTCATGTGACGGCCCCGAGCCGGTGCCAGGAGCCAGAGGGGAGCCGCGAGCCGAGCCGCGCGCACCGGGCCGGAGCCGGAGCCGGAGGAGCCGCAGCCGGAGGAGCCGGAGCGCAGCGAGCGCCCCGCGAGCCGAGCCGCGCCGCCGCCCGCGCGCAGCCCCGTCCCCGGCGCCCCCGCCGCCGCCGCCGCCGCGCCCGCCCCGGGGCGCTGACACTCCCGCATTCGCGGGGTTCGGGCAGCCCCAGAACCGGGCCTTTATTTCTTAATCTGCAGCGCTCAGCACTGCACCTCGAAAAAAGTAAGTCCCCCCTTTCCCGCACCTTGCCTTCTCGCCCGCCTCCGGCTTGCCCCCCTTTTGGGGGGGGCTCGTCCGGTTTCCTATTTTTAAATGGGGTGCTCTGCGAATGGGTGTGTGTGTGTGTGTGTGTGTGTGTGTGTGTGTGTGTGTGTGCAAGCGCCCATGGGCTCGGGAAAGTGCAACAGCTCCTCGCAGCCGGGGCTGGGGGCGGAGAGGGAGAGACCAGGAGGAGGAAGTCCTCGGGTTTAGCTGCAGAAAAGTGTGGGATTGGAGGGGAGCCACCATGAGGATCCGGGGGTGCGGGTGAGCGAGGCCGGCGGCAGCTCCCCCCGCCGCGGTGCCGGCGGCGAGGGCGCGGGCGGGCGCTCACCTGTGTGGTCCCCGCTCGCCCGCCCCTCGTTCGTTCGCGATCCCCTCCAAAGCCCCCTAAACCTCAGCGGTCTCCGCGTGCGGCGGCGTTGTTTGGAGGAAGGTAGCGCCGAGGCCGCGCTCCTGCTCCTGCTCCTCCCCCTCCGGGCCCCCCACCTCCCCCCCTCCCGCGCCCTCCCCCTCCTCCCCGCGCTCCGCCCGCCGCCCCCCTTCTCGGACGGGGCGCGCGGTGGCTCGCCCGCCGCCGGAACAAACTTGGAAGAGCCTCCCGGTCCCTCTCCGGGAGGAAACTTGGGGCCGCGGGGACTGGAGGCAGCAGCATCCCGTTCTGGGTCCCGGGTCCTGGAGCCCGGGAGCTGCCCCGGCGCCTGGATCCTTGGGGGCTGGCCGGCTGCGGCGCGTCCTGCCCGGGGCGCGGAGAGAACCTGCCGCCGCGGCGCCCGGAGCCGCGGTCGCAGCGGGGCCGGAGGCGGCGGCCGCCTTAGGCAGCTCGCTGCCTGCAGTTAGGGACCGAGCCGGCCCGGGACTCAGGATGGATCCCCGGTGGCTTTCCTGGAGATCACAGATAATATACCTGGAATTGTCAGAGCCGCTTCTTTGGCAGATAACCGGGAGAACCTTTTTTTTTTTTTCCTTCAAAATTTCCAAGAAGACAAACACTTGCGTGCTAGGAGAAAAGCATGTGCATGGGACTTGTTTTGAAGAAGACAGGTTCAACGGAAATTGGAAATTGCACACCTTTTTGTATTTTGCTAACATAAATATTTTGCACTGAATTTTTTTTTTAATTACTCAGAATGTATTTTTTTTCCCCCCACGGAGATCGCCAAGACACTTTAGAGATATGTCCTCACAAGAGTCTGGTATTTGAGGGGGAGAGGGGGAGGAAAGAGTCTGTGTATTTAGGTTCTGTACCTGTAATTATTAGCAAAATCAAGGGAAGCATAGGGTAGTTGTTCATTAAAGGTTTTTCCACAGAGCAATTTTGTGATGTCCTTTCTTTGGAGTGCTTTATGTCTGAATCCGAGGGAAGACTTCCTTTCAGGGGGAAAAAAACAAACAATCTGATAGCATTGCACTATCCAAAATTGTGCGAGTATTTTTTTTTTATTTTTTTTTTTAAGAAAGTGAAGGTATAGTAAGTTTCTTCCGGCTTGAAACATGGAACATGCTAGTTGACCTTAGGCTGTTAACAGAAACCTGAAATGAGATGTTTGATTAATTTAAACTCCCCAGGGAAACATCTCAATTTCTACAGTCGGGGTTTGCTGCAGAACCATTAGAAGGAAAAAAAGTAATGTACTATTAGTAAGTTCAATGAAGAGACTCTGTAAGGGGCATTTGGCTTGCATGCAGGAGAATGCAAGTATAAAAATTCTAACTTGACAATAACAAAAGTAGCTGCTTAGACTGCAAAACCTTGTCATATAAAACGGCAACATAGCTTGCAGAAAGGTTGCTTTTTTTCCCCCCACAGCAAAGTTTCCAATTAAAACCCAATCTTGTGATTGCTGTAAGGAGACTGATGGCTTTTTCTTCCATTCTTTTTTAAACTCGAGTTAATGCCTACACAGAAATTCTTAAATCTCTGATCATGGAAAGCTGAGTTCAGCAGTGCTAACAAAATAAAGAGAAATAATGGGAAAAGGAATAGGAATGGATTTGACTACCTTAAAAATACCTAGAGGAAATATTTTAGCCTATCTTATAAAAATTGATACTCTGTTCATTGATACGCAGTGCTACCGATTGTGGAACAATTTTGGGTTATGCAATGTCTGTAGCAGAATCATATAATCAAAAGGTGTATTTCTGCCTAGCGTGTACAGATGTGCAGCTGTGTGCAAAGATTTTTATAATTATGCAGCTGAAAAGGCCTGAAAATGTGAGGTGACCAGCTGTCCACACTTTTGTCTTAGAATTTAGTCATGTGGCTAAGGGACACTTTTCAGTTGTGTGGTATATAACCCAATTGTAATCTGAATTCTTAAAACAGCAGTGTTTTATCTTCATTTTCCTACTGATGCTCTGAGGCTGAATAATAATTATCACCCCAACCCAGAATTTGATCATGGCTAGAGACCAGCCTTTGGGATGGGGGGGATGTAGAGACAAAAGAAATCGGTAGGGAGACTGGTGTTAATTGGGAAGGTCTCTCTGCTGCTGGGATATGATAAAATCCCATGTTCACTTACGTTGGCTGCATGTGGAAGCTCCTATTTGTAAATAGGGCAGGTCCCCTGTAAAGAGCTGGTGTTATTATTCACACCCATAGAACAAACACCTCCACCCCCCCTGTTGTTGTCTTTAAAAACTCCAGCTGCTCATGAATATAGGGTCAGGGAGGGCCGGCTAAATGTTTCTCTGTGCTTTCTCTCCAGCACAGCCAGCAGAGCTGTTTCCTGTTCTTTGTTTCAAGGCTGGGGTTTGCGTCATACATTCCAAGTGGCATATGTGTGCTCTTTCCTGTTTCAGGCTGTTTTCTGGTAGATCAGTAGCCCGGACCAGGCCTTGGTCCCTGCCCCTCAACTCCCTATCCCCACCCAGGGAGTTATCATGTCTCTACACACTTGCTATTGCTTAAGATGCCCGCGTTATGTCATAATGAGAAGTCAGTTAACCTTTTTACATACACCCTTTTGCCTCCAGTGTGTTTATGTGGGTGAATAAAGACTTTTACCTTTTTAAATGTATCCTTGTCAGTTGTGACTTGAGACACGTGTGCATATTGACTAGAAGTGCAAAGGGTTTTGTTGTTGGTTGGTTGGTTGGTTTTTATTATTTTTGAGGTGCATCGGGTGTTTGTTTTGAGATAGGCATTTTGCCCTGTAGCTGTCAATTCTGGTTCAGGATTACCACTCAGAGTTTGGAAGACCTGTCCTTTTCTGAGAGAGATGGCCCATCCTTGTTCACGTTTAACAAGGGATGTTCAAGGCATCGGAAGCCATTGGATGGAGAACTGAAGCAGTCTTGGCAGCCTGCTTGAAAGTCTTGCCTATGTTAAGGAACAGATCTTTAGAAAAAGTATTAAAGCAAAACAAGATATATTGGGGGGAGGGGAAATCCCAGGTTCATGTCTTTTTTAAGACAAACACTTGAGTACTAGGAGAATTTTTTTTTTAAGGACAAGGATTTGACGTTCTTCTACATCTGATTTCCAAACTATTTTAAGAATAACCAGGTCAAAGAAAAGGAGAACTGGAAATAGGAAATTCATTTCATGATAGTTTGGGAAAAAATTTTAATCTTATATTTTGAAAACAGGAGAATACTCTTTATTTTTATTGTCTTTACAAAAACAACTTTCGTACCCCATTTTTTCTTTTTTTGTATATTCTGCCAGTTGTGGTTTAACTATTTAAGACCTATTTGAACAAATTATTTTTCTCCTGGTTCTTCAGAAAGAAGGTTTTAAAAGAAATGGTTGGAAAAGAAAACTTGGCAAGTTTCTTCTTTAAAGTTCTTATTTTTGTATTTTCTTTAAAATCTAAAGGAATTACTTAATATTATTTAATGGAATAATTAAATAAGGCAGCCAGTTAGGCCATATTCTTCCAAAAGTTGATGATAGTAGTACTTTGGTTTTAATGTTTCGTTCCGCCACATTTTTGCCTCATGGATAAATATACAATATGATATAAAGAAAACTACGGGAATCTTAATAGTAGACTACTGATGACTTTCCTTGAAAAAAAGATGGGAGTTTTGGAAAGTTTCAATAAGATTTTCCTCTTCTTTGGATGAAGCAAACTTGATTTATTAGCTGACTTGTAGGACAAGAGGCCTTTCGACTATAATTCATACGTAACCCACATTGAGGCAAGATTTTTGTTTTGTTTTAGTTCCAGAGTTGTTACCAATCCAGATAGATTTGATAGATTGAGTTTTTTGGTTTTTTTTTTTATTTGGCTTACCCCAAATCATTCTTCCCTCATTTGTGGGAAGAGGGGGGTGGTTAATAGGGATTATAAGGAGCTAACGTATTCTACCAGGAAAAAAAAAAAATCTGCAAGCTTCTAAATGCTAAGCTAAACAATAGGGTAAATGGTAACAGTCTGAATGATACTATAATATAATTATTGAAAAAGGGATTAATAATTTTATCTTATTACCTGCTTTGCTAACATGTAATACTCTAGTCAAAAGTCATCTTGGGAGTGAGGTGGAAAGGAAGGATTATGATGGTTTTTAGCATTCCCATTTTTTAGCATTCTCATTTTCCAGACCCTGTTTGTCCTCTGAAGCAGAGCTGGAGACAGGAAACCAGACAGCAGTCTGCCCCGATAGGGGAGAGCATTGTCCAAAGGAGGTCGCCCTCCTCCCCTCCCCACCCCCTGAAACCCCACCTCTTTCCTTGAAATTTAGCAATAATGAGAGACATCATGCTAGAGACACCATTTCTGAACCAGAACAAAGACTGTTTTCTCTCAAATTAAAATATTTTATTTATATATCTCCTCTTAACTAGCTGTGTGCTTTTCCTGAAAAGTCACCGTCATTCATTGGACCATTTAAAAAAATTATCAGTATGTTTTGTACCCATCAGTCAGAGTGTTTAATAGTAAAGTTCTTTTTGAAACTCACTCCCCCCCCCCCCCCCCCCCATCTAATGTTTAGGGGAGCTGGAGA